ACTACGCGCTGATGTCCGGCTTATTTTTGCTTAGTTATAATCACTATTGCTTAGGATTACCGGGTTGAGTTGATTCTCGAGATTCTATAAGCCTTGCTTAGATACGCTATGATTAAATAATTAAATCCCCTATTTAGTGATCTTCTAATTAAATTATTTATTTATTATAAATGACTATTGTCTACAGGTTAGAGTTTCGGGAAATTAGTTGCTTCGCTAGACACTTTGCGGCACATTTGTTAGGGCACATTGGTTTTCTAGATGAATGGTAATTCGTAAACCGAATAACGTACTCAAACATTAAAGTTCTTATTTACGAGTATTTTTAATTTTATCTCTATATTTTTGCACTAGTTACCACTTTCCCCACTCGTAAGAGTCTCTATTCTCAGCATTCCCGTTTATTTACACGAGTCTGTGGTTACTGGTCTCACACTGCGCCGTTGCCTGATTTTTATTTTTAAATAGAAAAGATACCATTTCCTCGGTAAAGCTCATTTCGGTTAATGTTAGTATTTGCATTAATTTCAGCTTCAGTATCGGTGGAATTAGCGCAGTAAGGACGAGTTCCCGTTTGAAGCTGGATGCAGTCAATAAACTGTTCGTTACTTCCGAGGAGAGCGGATTAACTATCACAAACTGAGCCATAGATTTTAATTGTGTGCTTAATTTCTGCCTGCTTTTTCATAGATGTGCACATCTTATAAAGTCATTTACTATCAGACATTGGAATTTTCGTACAGTAAGTCACCAGTATCAGTTGTCCTGAGTCTCAACACATTTCACACCCATGCTTAGAAATGATCGCAAAAATTGCGTTCAGCACCATGTGAATAAACAGGCTTTGTACTTCTAAAAGCTCAGAAGAATTTAGCTCCATTAAATCGTCACGAGTGAGAAAGCAGTTGTGCTAACGTAAGCAGCAATACTGCGTATAATTGTTTTTACATATTGACGCAAACATCACGCAAAGTTATTTGGAGAAAATTTTCTATCCATAGCACTGCTTGCAGCGTTACTCCTAGTTTATGCATTTTCGGTAACCTCTCTAGTCTGGGAATTTAGAACACGTGTTGAGGCAGCTATCCTTTTTTCTCGACTACCACGTGATTTTAGATCAGTGAGTCCGCCTTTTCCCCATTCGGGGTCGCCAGATGGTCTTGCTTCTCCTTATCTATGAGCCTCCGGCGAAAGTTATTGAGTTCAGTCAGTCATATTCCTACCTTATTTATGTAGCTAGCCTTATTTAGAAGTACAATCCGGCTCGCATTATCAGGTCTCCAGATCAGCGCATCTCTTATCTTCAGTAGATTATTTAGAGCTAATAAGTGCTGCGCAACCTAAGATGTTCTGCATTCACAGACAACGCAAATGACGTTCATGTTTCCCCGCATTGGCTGTCTTCTTACGTCAGCTTTACGTCTGATAGTTGTCCGACTCCCTAATCAAATTGTCAGTTCTATATTATTTCTTGATATACCGAATTGGGGTTCTGGGGAAGGTGCTTGGGTGTGTAGCTTATTTAGTTGGCGGTGTTGACACGGTAGATTTGTGGATTCAACAGAAACGATTAACCACTAGTTACCTGCATAATGACTCGAAGCGAATGGTGAGCAAAGATCTTAAGCAAATAGGACTATAGAACTGGAGAATCTATATGCGGCCTTCTTTAGCTGTAATCAATTCTGCTTGTATGAATCAATAATCCCAGGTCTGTCGGCAAGTCTGATCATAATTCCCTGTGGTTTACAAACTTACACCATTTTATTATTACAGGGAGCTCGATAGAAAGACAATGAATGCTGCCAGTTGAACTACAAGTTGCACAGTTCGTGAAATCATTGAATTATGCTATGACTACTTTGCTCAACTATATTCCAGGATGACAATGTTTCAACCAGTCAGTGTATTTGTTAGATTCTTAGGTCTTCTCCATGTTCTACAAAATTTGGAAAACCTTCCCTATCTATCACTGGAAAAACAGTACTCCACATTCACACCGATAGATCAGTTTTTTACAAAAAAATAGTTAAGCAACAAGGACAATTCAATGGTGGAAATGTTCCCTACGGAGGTTACGATAGCCATCAAAGGCTCTACTACACAACCAGGTTTATGCTCGGCAGCCATACGAGACTCAATCTGGATAAAATAGCTTCAACATGTCGTTTTCACCATCCTACCGAGGCCCCTGGATCTACCGATCATTAGCGGGCTGGGCAGTATTAGCCTTGTGCTTGATCGGTTAACGCAGCAGTCATTTTAGGCATTAACAGGTAACATCGTCAGTACGGTATCCTTAGAAAAACCAAGTCGATGCATGCAAAATAAAAAGTTGAGTTGTTATCTCCTACCTGTTTATTTCCTCTGACTTGCTTAATTATGCGTGAAAAAACGCTGCAAACTTTCGCGCAGTAAATTTGCTGATATCTGCATCAGCAAAATAGATAAAATTCCGCGTTCTGCTACTTCTTAGAAAAACACGAAGTCGAAGGAGTGGAGATCGAAAAGTAAAACCAATTGATTAATTGGCAACAGTAGTTTCCGCAGTGCACCTCATATATCCCTAGTCCCAGCATTTTTATCTTACAAAAATGGTGGTTATAGAGCTTTATGGGCGGAGAATTAGGGTAGGCGGTGGAACATACTTTAATAACTGCTATATGCATTTTTATTTTATTGTATTTTGAAATGATGTTGATTTATATGTGTAGATTTCCTAATCTGTATTATCGGTAAACATATTATGGAAAAACGCAATTATCGATATACAGGTTTCTTGAAATTCCCGGAGAAGTAGAAATGGTGGTTAGGAGGTCGC